GATTACCCGGGATTCCTCCATGGAGATGACAGTCTGGCCAGAGGGAGAAGGCAGAGTGTGCCCCAGGCCCTCTCATTCCTGTTGGACTAACTGGCAGGATGGGTCTGAGCTATGGAGTCTCCGCTTCAGAGGGCAGACTGATCTCCGGTGGTCATCTCTGCATTCAAAGTATGGCCCAGGGGGCTTCTTAGGGCAGTTTCTCTTGAGGTGGCCTGGCTTTTAACAGCAGTAGCAGATGAATGCAGTTGTTGAGTTCTTCTTGGGGCCCCGAGAATCTCAAGTGAGCCATCTGGGGCAAAAGTCACTTTTTGCAGCTTTTTCTCTCCAGCCTCCCAGTGCACTGGGACTCCACAACCACTTAAAGTGTCCTCTCCCCAACCATCAGCACAAGCAGCAGGAATCTCGGTGCAGACCTCTCCTGAGCTCCATGTGCTCCTCCACTGCAGTCTTTACTGTCAGGGGAAGAACGGCTTCCAGGGGGTCTCCCCAGGTATTGCACAAGGTCCTCCCGGTTTGCAGCTTCGGAACGGCTCTCGTGACCCCAGTCAACTAGACCTCTGAGTCTTCGGGCGTAGCCTGTATTCTCATGTTCTCTGAGTCCTTGTTCAGCAGCTGCTCCTCCACTGACTTTGGACCTTTCTGGTTCTCAACAGCAGGGGCAAGAGTGACCTATTGTGTTGCATGTATTCCCGGGGGTTTCTCCATGTCAGAACATCCGCAGGCTGCCCAAGTTATTTGAGTATATATCCTGCCACAACTTGTCCTGGCTGCTGGACACAGAACTGCAGGATTTAGTGTCTGCCTGCTTTGGTCCCATTCCTTTCTACACCCCTATTTCTCCCTTTTGGAATGGGAATCTTTACCCTGTATATTGACAGTGTTTAACTTTCTGATTTTTATATAGGTCACAGCTGTTTGCCTTGAGTCTTAAAGAATATTTTGGACTTGAACTTATTAGTAATGCTGTTACACATTGCTAAAACTGGTAACTCTGAGAGATAAACTAAATGCATTTTGTATAGAGACGCACATGAGTCTTTTTGGGGCCAGGGACAGAATATTATGGTTTATATCTGGAATGTTTCCCCAAAGCCTTTTGTGTTCAGAGGTGGGGCTTTTGGAAGGAGACTGGATCATGGCGCACTATTCTCATGAATGGATTAATCCATTGATAAACTCTGAGCTAAATGTGTTGTTAGGAGGTGGGACCTGATTAGAGGCAATTCATGGGGGTGACTAGAAGAATATACTGTATCTCCAGAAGGGTACATCTGCCTCCTTAGCCCCTTCTTTATCTCTCTGGTTACTGACAACCGTGATGTAAGTAATTTTCCTCCACCTAGGCCCTTCTACCATGCCATTTCTACCTCTCTAATCTTTCCTCCTTTAAGTTTTCTAACCTCTCCTTTAAGTTGTGGGTATCAGGTATTGTGTCCCAGTAATGCAAAAATGAAGAAGAAAAGAAAATCTCAGCAAACTAGGAATAGAGGGGGACTTCTTTAATTTTATAGAAAGTATATACAAAAAAAAAAAAAAAACCTTCTGGCTAAATTCATACTTAATGCTGAAACACCAATGCTTTCCCCTGAAATCAGAAAAAAGTCAAGGGCCCAATCTCATCCTTCTTGTTCAGTGTAGTACCAGGGTTTCCAAGCAGCACAATAATAGAAGAGAACAAAAGAAAGGTATACAGAGCAGTAGGAAGAATCAGAACTATATATCCTTATTTGCAGAAGCATAATTCTTGATGCAGAACCTACAAGAGAACTCCTACAACTCATAGGCAAGTCCAGCAAAGTCACAGGATATAAGAAAAACCCACAAAAAGCAACTGCATTTCTATGCTAACAATAAAAAAGTGGGAACCAAAATAAAAAGCCCAATACCACTTTCAATTGCTCCAAAGAAAATGAAGTACTTGGGGAAAAATATAACACAATATGTATAGACTATGTATTCTAAAAATTAAAATGCTGGTGAAAAACATTAGAGACAAATAAATGGGGAGACATGCTATGCTCATGAATGAGTCAGCACAAAAAAAAGATAACAATTCTCCGCAAACTGATCTATATATATGCCACAATTCTGATTAAATTCCCAGCAAAACATTTTGGGGCACTAATAAACTTATCCTATATGTGGAAAAAAAACCAAAGGATAACTAGCTAAGACAAAAGTCTGTGATCCCTGTTCAGGACTGCACGGAACATAGGGTAGAACCCTGGAAGCTCATTTTAGACTTGAGGAACCAGGAAAGAATCCAAGGGTTAGGATCCTAGATTAGAGTATTGCTGGTACATACTTTAGTGTCAGGGAACGCGGAGACGACTGAATCCAGCATGTGAGGAAAGGTCAGAAGGAAACGGAGTCAGTATCAGGAAGAGCTGTGCTGTGTGGGCAGCAGCAATTCCCAGCCCCCAGCCAAAGGCTCTGAGCAAAAAAGGCTTTGTTCCTGGCTGTTGCAGAGCTGACTGCTCTTCCTCAAGCAGCCCCTCAGTTGGGTCAGTTGGCGAGGGGAGTCAGGACTGGATGTCTCCTCATGGTATGCAGAGCTGCCCAGGACAGAGTCCTGGCAGTAGCCGCCTTTGAACCCTGGGAACGGAAGGTTCCTCCTTGATGGCACAGGCACAACTGTCAGAGAGCAAAGGATCGCTTCAGAAGGACTCGCTGCCACTTGAAGGTTTGACTTCACTAAGCATCTGCGCCAGGAGCTCTGTCATGCTGGCCTGAGTCACCTAAGTGTCAGCGTGATGACAGACGGTGTGGGTTCGCCAGTCTTCTCTCTGGGGAGCTGGTGTCCCAGGGCTCACCATGGTCCCGTGCTTTCTGTGGGCTCTGTTCTGGTGGCATGCACCTTTCAGTCAGCACACCAACTGCCTATTTTTTGCTATGTGTATTTTTATGTTCTGTATTTTGATGTATTAGGAAAGAACTGCTACTTTTATAATAATAAAAGGGAAGCTGTTGCCAACATTAGTATAATGTTTCAAGAAAATTTTTAAAGAAAAATTAACTCATAGTATAGTTCAGCTAAGATCAGAAATGAACTACAGATTTTGAAAGAATCCTGAAAGTTTTGTGCTTGATACCCTACTACGTATGAGTGCTCACTTCAAATAGGGAAAAATCCTGGGGTTTGAGTATTGCTTCTTTACAACAGCCTTATCTAGGTATACTTTACATAACACCAAATTATTCTTTGGTAAAGTTTGATGGTTTTTAGTAAGTTTACAGTTCTACAATTATTCTACGCAGTTTGCTTTTTGTTGTTGTTGTTAACATAGTTTTGAGGAATAAAGCTAGAGATAAACAGTACAAGGCTACAGCAAACACTGCCACCCAAGAGAAATGGCCTTGCTACAGCCAACCTGCAGCGGCTTCATCTGTATTCACCCAGCTGAACTACTCAACAGGAAACCTGACTGGAAATAGAAGGCAGTGTAGGCTAAAACAGGCCCATATTTTAACTGAAATCTAAATATCAGGGCAATAATAACACCCCAGAGAGCTGAAACTACACTACCATGGTCATTTCATCCTTCAATACTGGCATTTACTGGCAAGGCTTATTTTTAAGCATTGTATCTACAATGCCAGTAAAACATCTATTTTCCCTTTGCCTACTAATTTAAAAAAAAAAAAAAAAGGAAATCTAAGATTCTGCTCAATATAAGCTTCAATCTTAAAAATATCTTAGCAATTTGAGGAAGGACAGGATCGATGGGTTGCATTTGTCACATTTTTCAAATTCCTTCTGACCTGGTGGTCAAATTCTTCCACAGCATGAAATGTTTAGTCTGAAACTTCCCTGATGACCATTTCAGTTTACTGTGATCTAGATGGAATGTGGCAAAGCTAAGTTTCAACTCGAAGGATGCAACGTCCGACCTAACTCAGGCCGAAGAGCACAGCCTCTTCCTGTGCTGATCGGCTTGCTCAGGACTCAGCACACACAGAGGCCCCGAGACCCTTGCAGACACAGAGACTCAGGACTGCTCTGAGGCGAGTAAGCAAAGGAGATGCAGGCTGGCACCAGGGAGCGGGCCCTGGACCGGCCCCTCAGCCCTCCTCCAGGGAATATTTGCGGAGACACCTGTGGGGACAGCTACTACCACCTGCCAGCACACAGCCAACTTCTAGCACACACCAGTGGCTATCATTGACACTACCATTTTATTATTCAAGAACAAATATATACATGTCCTCCCTTTTTTTTTTTATTGGAGATCAAACACAGGACCATTACACTGAGCTATATTCCCAGCCCCTTTATTTTTTATTCTGAGCAGGGCGGTCTCACTAAGTTGCCCAGGCCAGCTTTGAACTTGCAATCGTCCTGCCTCAGTGCCTCAGCTGCTAGGGTTATAGGTATGTGCCACCATGACTGGCATGAACCCAAATTTTACAAGTGGCAGAAAACGAGATGTAGTTTTATGGAAACCAAGAGGAAATAATTTGCCACCCAAAATATAAAAACATTTCAAAGAGGTATTATAGCTTCTAATACTGAAATAAAATATAATCAGTTATTTGTAAAATGTCAGTAAGTAATACCTAATTATACATACTTGTGATTTAATATACCTAGCTCCAATGTAAGTCATTCTATGCACAATATTCTTCCCTAGATTCTTATTTTATTATAAGCCTTTATGTTTTGGAATGAACTGTTTTAAATATGAAAAATAAAATGTACCAAATGAACAATCTACATGCTAAATGGTTACAAAATCCAACTGCTCACCCATCTTCCAAAGCATGCAGAATACACACATTTAAAATCACCATCTTGCTGGGATATAGTTCAGTGGCACAAGCACCTGCCTGGCAAGCACAAGGTCCTGAGTTCAATTCCCAGTACCAAAAAGAAAAACAACATATCACCATCTCTTGAGGATTTGGGGAGAAAATGTAAGACCTGCTGCTCACGACGGCAAAGGTGGCAAACCGGCATGGCTTTCTGGACACGGCTGAAGAGCCTGTACGGGCTGCCCTACCTGCTTCTCCCTTCCACTGTCGGCCTGCAAGGTTTCCAGGCGGGCTTTGAAATGCTCACAGTCCAGTTTTAGCTGTTCCAATTCTTGCTCTTTCATTTCCAGGTCTACAAAAAGGAGACATAACATTTCTCAAGAAGACATAAACCACAAATCTCTCCTAAGCATCCATTTACCCTATCTTCCCTTAGTAAAGCCTGCACAGATTTCTTAGGTCAGAATATTCATGTTTCTGACGCTAACTGTCCCAGAACAACCAATATTCTTGAAGTCTTTTTGCTATGTTCTTATCAGTTTTTAGCCCAGAGCAGAAAGGACTTCTTTGTTGCTTTGCTTTGTGCTTTGATGGCCTCCCTTTACTGCCAAACGTGTACTCAAGACTTCAAGAATGTGTTATTTGAAGGGCTGAAGGCAGAGCTGAGGAGCCCGACTGTCTCGTGGCACAGACTTGTATCTGCTCTGTGAGAAACAGAAGGCAGCTTGGCACGGAGACGCTGCCAGCAGGGCTGATTCACAAAGTGAGCCCCCCGCCCTCCGCCTGGCATATGGCTCAATGGAACAACTGCATAGCAGTCACCAAGGAGGCAGCCCAGAGCCCAGGATGAGAGAACACCACGGCGAGGCGGGGAACTACATGCACTACTTCCTCCCCACTACATTCAGGACTGGATGAGGCAAATGGCCAACAAAATCCCCAAAGGCAGCCACATCAATAAGTCCAAGTTATCAACTTTAAACATTATGCTATTGAATACCAACGGTCAAAGAGTAGGCTTGGGGACATAGCTCAGCGATGCAGCGTTTGCTCTTTAGAGCTAAGAAATCATCTATTTTATGCCATACACAACAGATAGCCAGAGCTGAGGGAACTAGTGCCACGAGCTAACGGTGTGACTTCTCTCACCGGAACATCAGTGCATCGGGACAGTGGTTCCCAAGTTTAGTGGGTCACCTGCAGATGTGGGTCCTATCCACACAATTTGGAGTTCAGGGGGCCTGGGGTGAGCCTGAAAACTTACTATTCCTAACACGTTCTCTCAGGTGAGGTGGCTGCTGCCAGTCTGAGAACCACGGAGGACAGCCTGGTCCCTCCTCACTAGGGAAGCGAAAGGCACACACAACCCCAACCCAGCACCAGCCATGAGCTCAGCCACAGCGCTGCAGAGGTGGCTGGGGCAGGGGCCACGATGAAGGCAAGGGCCTCTACAAGCAGATGCCTGGGAAACAGAACCGTACTGTACCGCCAGGAGAAAAGCTAACAAAGGTGCAAAGGAGAGGGTGATTTACAACCTCGGGGTCTGAGAAGGCAGGTGGAAGCCCAATAAGCAGCCTGTGAGGACTCTTAGACCTGCACAGCATGCCCAGAGCTGACAGCAGACACAAGGAGTCTCTTACGTCTTCTGGACACCCTGCCCAGAAAGGAGGAGTAGACCCTAAGTCAATAACCAGACCACTTAGGAATTATGAAACTGCCTGGGAAAAACTTCTCTTATAACATATTCTTTAGGAAATAGAATGAAGTCACTTTGGGCTATTTCTCGGCTGTTCTTTTAAGATACCTAATGCTATGACATGAACTTTGCCATAATTATTTTGTCCCACTAATCCTGGCCATCTAAGAAAGAACTATTAGTGGAGCACCATGCCTTAAAAATTAGTTAAAACTATGCTGTTGCATACTGGTAACAGTGTTAAATGAAAACACGGTATTCACATTTACACACACACACACACACTAGAATATGTATGAAATTTGTACCATACAATAGTCACAGATAAAAACAAAATGAAAAATGGGCTAAAATAAAATTAGCAGCAGTTTGCCCAAGCGTGGTAACACACACACCTATAATCCCAGCACTCTGGAACGCCGAGGCAAGAGGATCAAGCCCCCAGCCAGGCCACTAGTGACCTACTGAGAATCAATTCTTAAAATAAAAAATTTAAAAAGGGCTGGGCATGCAGCCCAGTGCAAAGGCCCTGGGTTCAAGCTCCAGTACAAATATAGACAGATACAGCTACAGACAGAGATACAAGTATCAGTGGTTTAAAATTTTCTTCACAGTTAACTCTTAAAGTTTGCTTCTACTATTAAACTACATATTATTTGAACATGGTAAAGAAAGAAAATTGTACTTCTACAATTCCATGTAGCATGTACTGTAGGAATTTTGACTACCCAAAAGACATTTGCTCCATGGTAATTCCATGCTCTCTTGTTCTGTGTAGTTGTGCAGAATCTTATTGTGGGTTAATTCACCAAAGCAACAGGGTCAAAGCAAAGCATCCATCAACAAGCAAAGCCATAAAACTTCAGGTCAGTGGTGAGGGAGGCCACACCCACCCACACAGACCCTCAGGGAGGCGACAGGTGCCTTTCCACTGTGTAAGGCTGCCACCTTGTGGCCAGAAAAGAGCAATGCTGCCGCCTCCTTACAACTACCGTACTCATTGTCAATCTGGCTCACCTTCCACCATGAGAACAGAGATTTTTCCTGGGTTTGTGTTATGCTAGGCCCCAGGTGCCTAAAAAAGCATGTGGAATGTAGTCAGCACTACCTAGATATTTATCTCATTAACAAACTTCATTTCTTTACATTTCCTCATCTTTGAACAGAGAAAAACACAGGGCTATCCTTTAGTTTTCTATGGGTCACATTCTTCTGTGATAAGGATGTATTGTTTCTGCAGGTTTTCAAAAACCCAGGACAGAAATACTACAGACAGTGAATGCTATACATGGTCAAGACATCCTCTTAGCAAGGGCTGCTACCCAGCCTACCCTGTGCTTCAACTGCTACTTCTTAGTACTCAAAATGAAGGTAAAATCTCAATCCGTGTAAAGTGAAAGAGGGCTGGACAGATGAGCTGCACAGCAATCACCCAAGCTACACACTCTTTCAAGATCTACGCATCTTCTCCAACTACAATGTTTCTTTGGTAGTGTTTTCAATAACATGAGGACTGTGCTCTTTTAATGCTTACCTTATTTACAAGGAGGGCTCAGAGCTGTAAATGAGAAGCAGGATTTCTAAAACACTATCAAACAAATTAAGACTATACAGAAGGGATCAATTTTTCCTACCCTTTATTACCCGCATGTTTATAACAAATCATCAACTGCCTTAAATTAATATGAAAATGTGTTTGATCAAAACAGCAGAAAGTCACAAAATAAAAACACAGGCTTTTTGTTTACAAAACCACAACCATGAACTTTTACCTTCTTACCATTCTTATTACCCTCTGACAGGTTCATAAAAGAATTCAGAATATGCTACTGGTAGGCTCCATCTCTACTTGAGCTGAGATTTAGCAGTGTAGTAGTTTCCTGGGGCTGTTCTAAGCCTCAGATTGGGTGGCTTAGAGCAACAAAAATGTTGATTCACCAGTCTGGAGGCTACAAATCCAAAATCAAAGTGTCAGCAGGGCCACACGCCTCTGCTATCTGGAAGGGAAGGGTCTTTCCTTGCCTCTTGCACCTTCTGGGAGCCCCAGATATCCCTTGATTTGTGGCAGTGCCTTTCCAGTCTCTGCACACACTTCATGTGTCCTCACATGCATCTACATCCCAAACTCCCCTTTTATAAGGACACGTCGCATTGGAGCAAGCTTACCAGGATGGCCTCATTTTAACTTCATTACCTCTGTGCAGACCCTATTTCCACGAAGGTCCCATTCTGAGGAAGCAGGGACTACGTCTCAACACATCTTTTGGGGGGACTTCAACAGGCTGCAGGACCATCTGCTCTATGTGGGCCTCATGAATCCCTTCCAGCTGAGAGGCATTCCTACTCACACAGCTTCCCACAGCACACAGCCCGTCTCCAGAATGATTCTGCGTCCTTCACAGTCCCCACAAATAATTCCAATGATATTTTACATTTTCATGGGAGTACCTTGTATTTGAGTGGGCCTTCCCACTTGGTAAACTACAGTGATCGCCATGGGACATTCTTCACAGGTTTCAAAATATATTGAAAATCATAATATTCCACAATTCATCTTATCAAAAAATACACCAGGTAAGGCTTAAATGCATTTGAAATAGGAGTGCCCATCTAAACCAAACATGGTAGTTAGCTGTCGCAATTTTTAAACAGGGCCAGGGATATAGCTCTGTGGCATAAGCATCTGCCTAGCAAGCACAAAGTCCCGAGTCTGATTCCCAGTACCAAAAAAAAAAATTTTTTTAAACAAACCAGTTAGAATGAGAGCACAAAAACGGGGTTTCTTTTCTGTTCTGACAAAAATCTGCATTCAAAACCACATTTCTTGCTCTAACATAAAGGCCACTGGCATCATCTTTTATAAAATAAGGAAAATGTATGGCTAATAAGAACCTGTCCCATACTGGCACTGCCAATGAATGTGGCACTAGCTGGCATCACTCTTTTTTTTTCTTTGGTATGAGCTGTGCAGTTCAGGCTGGCTTTGAGCTCACTTTATAGCCCAGGCCGGTCTCAAACTCCAAATGACTGCTGGGATTACAGGTATGCGCCACTACACCTGGCTGTCCTCTCCATCTTGATGATCTTTTGCCGCCTCTATCCATAGGCCCGTTTCCACTTCCCCCTTCTCACCCCCGGATTCCGGGAAGTCCCCATGGGCCCTGCAAGTGTACTCTCCACCTGCTCTGTGCCCCAGCGTTGGGTGTCCACGTCTAACACACTTGGGCTCCTTGCCTGCTGGCTTCCTGGTAGAGGTGGGCAGTGGGAGGCCCTATGAGAAACAGGACAGGGTGTGGTGGAGTGACAACTGGTGGTCAACTTATAGCACCCAGCTGAACTGAACCAGTGTAGTGCTGGGTGTGGGAGCCCACCTGAGGATTGTTGCCAGCAGCATGAGAGGCAGAACTGGAGAGGAAGAAGTTTAGAAGCTGTGGGAGCTGCTGAAGCTGTAGGGAGCTGTTGGTCTTTCCTGGAGGACCTTGTCATGCTGGCTTTCCTGATGAACTCAGCTGTTCTCATCAGAGGAGGAGCTTGGGACCTTGTTGTCACTGAGAATGGCTATGGTTCACTTTGGGGGAGTTCTGGTTCTCACTCTGAGCATCACTTCCTGGGGGAGGATGGTTCACTGCCAGGCTCCTGGAGAAGTATGTGACATT